TACAACAACAACCTATATTTCTGGTGCTTATAAAAATCTAAGAAAATTACAGTAGCATAGTACTACTCTAAGTAGACTACCATAAAAATTTCATGGCATTTGGGTAAGTAAACTATCCTACACAAAATGACAAGCTATGGCATAAAATGAGCATGAAAATACTTTGTACTATGAAAAGTGTCAAACAACAAATTGAGTATTTTTCCTAGATTCTAAACAGTAAATAATCACTATACAAAAATTACCACATGCATGTTTTATACAAATTTTGCTCTCTAGCAAAAATAACAAAAATCGACCATTTAAGGTACTTGAACTACACCTCAAAATTTTCCCACAGCACATGCCTGGCATACATTTTTCACAGAAAGTACATCACTCAAGGAAACTAACAAAACTGGAAGCATATTTTTCTGAGGTATATTTCATTTACTAGACATTTTCTCAGAAATCAGCATTTATTCACTTTAAATAAAGCTACGAGAAAAGTATCACAAATTTGACATGCAATATTTTTAACAGATAGATCTAGTCACAAGAAGCATAACAAAATTTGTTTCATACGTTTTGGAGCAACACAACTTGATATATACATTTACTAAGCATTTGAATCAAATTTTTAAACCATTTCTCAAAACCCATTTCCTTAAAACGAAAAACCAGTAGATGCAAGCGTTGGGTGCACCGGTCTTTGTGCACCAGGGTTTCCCTCTCGTTGCGCGTGGGCCTCAGGTCTCACACTGGTCGTGACCGAAGCAGAGATAGCTCACGGCGGGGTGCTCACCGTGCCATGAAAGCTCCTCCCAAGAATCATCAGGCGGTACCGGCGGGCTCCCACGCGCGAGCCGCACCTCTGGGAAGGTTAGAGGTGGCCCGGCGTCGTGGCGTTCCACGCGACCACGGCGACCGCTTCGCCGGCGGCGAGAAAGGGGGACGGCCGAGCTCGGCCCTTACCTTGACGACGCGCCATGAGTGGTATAAGCGAAGGAGCTAAGCGAAGGCGGACTCCGGCGAGATGAATCGAAGAATGAAGCTGGCGGTGGAGCACGTCGTCGGCGGGGGGTGACGTGGTGGCGGCAGCGTCTTATTCTTCTTCTTCTTGAGCAAGAGAGGAGACAAGGCGGCAAAAGCGAGGAGCGGGGAGGAGAGGCGCTTCGGACAGCCCTTGAAGGCGGAGCTGCCGGTCGGGCGGCACCACCGCACTGGCCGGGGTGTCTGCGTATGCCAGCGTGGTGACAGGCAGTGGTGAAAGCATGGCGCGGTCTGCAAGTGGAAGAAAGGCGTGGCGCTGGGCACAGGCAAGCGTGAGCGATGGGCCAAGCCAGGCGTGAGCAGTGAGCGAGTGGCGGCGGGGGGGAGGCAGGCGGGCCGGCCGGTGGCGGGGGGAAGGCGAGGCAATGGCTGACCCGCTAAAGCGAAAAACATTCTTTTCAATTTCCATTTTCAATAAATTTTCAATTAACAGTTTTCAAATATTATTTTGAGCAAGAAAATGACCTCTTTTGAAAATGTACCTAAAATGAAAGTTGTTTAGAATTTAATTCTCTACAACTTTGCTTTTATGACCAAAGTCCAATTCTATCTAGATTTTAAATTATACAATCAAAGTTAAATTTTTAACTCAAAACCCTAATTTTTGAGAATTATTTTTAAAGAAAAATTTGGCAATAATTCAAATACAAACCTTGCTCTAAAAATTGTGCTAAACAATTTTAGATGATTTACAATCATAACCAAACAAGTTCTACTAACCTAGCAAGCAAGAATCAGAGCAAAACAACTCTAATAAGTGTATGCATCATTTACTTTTCACAAACATGTTTCGTATGTTTCGAAGTAATGTTTCAGTTGTTATATGCAAGATTACGCATGTATGAATAGGATGCTTGATGATGCACGATATGTATGATTAGCAATGCCTAAATGCAGGCATAACACCGGGGTGTTACAACCGGTAACAACTTATATTGTGTTTATCTTATCTTACCATCAAATAAATAGTGATTTGATTTAACTACAACAAATAAACACTTGGGCTCTTCTTCTTCAGGAAATTGGCAGGCTTCCTTGTCTACAACTACCTAAAGTTGTGGAATGGCGAAAGATTATCGTCGTTTGTCAACATAGTAAGCGTAAAATATTTCTATGTATATTTTATATGTTATCTACCAAATCAGTAAGTTAACTTATTATATATTATCTATATCATTCGCAGAGGTCGATTCATCGAGGACGGAATTTTTAGTTGACATTTTGAAAAGCGGCGCAAATGAATGTACATATGACATCCACGGGAGGCGCAAGATCTACTTAAACTCATAAATTAGTAGGATAGATATGTCAGACATGACTTTATTATGCCTTGTTATGCATGCGTGTTTTTCAGATAAATACATCGTTATGTACCATTGCGTGTGACTTAAACTATCAAAAAATTTCGTTGTTTGGTTATTTTCATGTGATTCCCAGAATAAAGCCGTAGCGTTAGCACGGGCACTATACTAGTGTATCTAAATCATTTGTTAGTTGTATCATTAATTAAATAGTGATAATTGTTGCAAAAAAACAACAGTCGAGAACTCAGTTTGGACGAGATCCAAGGTGTTGCGACTGGATAGACTATGAAGAACTAGCAAAATTGCTTCAATGCGGGTCTGATAGGGACTACAAAATACAAAATTGCAGCACTGTAAGATATATGTTCATTAAACTCCTTTGAAAACTTATATTTTGTATTGCACTTATGGTTTTTTTTTTGTTTACAGATTCTATTGCCGTATTTTCGAGATAGGAACTATATTTTATTCATATTTGACATGGGTAACAAAATTGTGCACATTCTAGATCCGCATTCTCCAAAACTATGGTACTCGGGTCTAGATCCAATCATGCCATATAATGGTATATTAGAGATAGTTTTGAATTATTTCAGTTTCTCCATGACATTGGTCAATCCTGCATGAAAAGAGAATGTTTACCTCTGGCGTCGTCAATTAAAACTATATCTTCCAAAAGCTATGGACTGGTAACAACTTATATTGTGTTTATCTTATCTTACCATCAAATAAATAGTGATTTGATTTAACTACAACAAATAAACACTTGGGCTCTTCTTCTTCAGGAAATTGGCATGCTTCCTTGTCTACAACTACCTAAAGTTGTGGAATGGCGAAAGATTATCGTCGTTTGTCAACATAGTAAGCGTAAAATATTTCTATGTATATTTTATATGTTATCTACCAAATCAGTAAGTTAACTTATTATATATTATCTATATCATTCGCAGAGGTCAGATTCACTGAGGACGGAATTTTTAGTTGACATTTTGAAGAGCAGCGCAAATGATGTACATATGACATCCCTGGGGAACTGCAAGATCTACTTAAACCCATAAATTAGTAGGATAGATATGTCAGACATGACTTTATTATGCCTTGTTATGCATGCGTGTTTTCCAGATAAATACATCGTTATGTACCATTGCGTGTGACTTCAACTATCAAAAAATTTCGTTGTTTGGTTATTTTCATATGATTCCCAGAATAAAGCCGTAGCGTTAGCGCGGGCACTGTACTGGTGGGAAAAGGAGAGGGGTGGAGAGGGTCTCAGCTCCGATGGTAGCTGGGGGCCTGGGGCAGCTGCCCCACCCTGCCACAGAGGGAGCTCCGCCTCTTTAACGATGCCTCTGTTTGCATTGGACTGATGGGCCTTCCCTTCCTCTACGCAGTTAGTAGTACACTGGCCCAAACTCCTTCGTTCGTCTTCCTTGTCTGTTCTGTGACCCTACCCGACGAACGAGCTAGCAGCCGGCGCTTGGAGACGACAGACGAGGGCGGTGGCCTGGTCGAGGGGGTTTCTCGGTGCCATGGTGGTTCCTCCACTTGCTTCAAAGCGCCGGCGGACAGTGACCAACCAAGTTTAAAGCTTTGTTCTTTTTCTTCTTTTCATGCTTTCCTTGGTTCTCCCTAGAGCCCTACAAAAGGCTACAACTATTCTTCAACCACTTCGTTTGGTTTTGGTTCAGCAGACGTCTAATCACCACTTCTAAAAGAGACAGCGTAAGAGTGTTACGCTCAATACTCGAATACACTCGGTAACTCTGCTCCTTTTGTTCTCTTCTCCTGTCCATTTGGGAGCACGAGCAGTGATCACTGATAGCACTCGAGAGCACGAGGCGCTGTTCCGAGGAGAAAGCTCCGGCAGTGAAGGGAAGTCGGTTGCATCCCAGATCAGATGAGAGCCTACAGCACGCCAAGCATTCTAGATGGAGAAGGAGAAGCACAAGTAGGAGTAAACAGTAATGGCCATGTTTATGTAGCCGGTTGCTTCTTTTGGTACATCCCTAATACTCGATCACAATTTATACATTTTTTCTATATCTCGGATGCCTTTTTTCAGACATGTAATTCTGTCATTGGGCCACGTTTCTTTGGTTGGTGCAGTCTTTGGTTTGTCTTTGGTTTTTTGAGAGAAAACAACATGTTATTTGGTATTTGGTTTGAAATTTTGATTGAAACCAACAACAGCGTAACAATGTTTGATTATTTTATAGCTATAGAAAAAACTAAGAATTGTCTCTTATATAGTTATTTTTTTGCTGTACTAGTTGCTTGTGTAAAATTGTTGTCTAGTTTTTTTAAAAAAAAATCAGACAACTGAAATATAGCAATTTCCCGATTAATCACAACGAACAAGCAGCACCAGTGCCAGAACAATCTGCACTTTGGATTCGCATGAAGCAATCATGCCCCACAGGACGCCAAGATTCTCCTTAAGGGCCCATTCGTTTAGGCTTAATCCTGGACGGAACTGTTCCTGGTGCTGTTTTGACGTATAAAATAGAGCTACGGTCCTGGCCGGATCAATTCTTGGGCTTGATTCCGTGTTATCCGAACGTGCCCTAAAGCACTTTGTTTCGCTGGACCCACCACTACCAGATAGTAGATGGTCAAAAAGTTTGTCAATTGTCATGGGGCCTGGCCACCTGGGGCCACTGCGCCATGCCTCCCTCTTCCCCTGATGCCTTCCTGTGCTGCTTCTCCCGCCCGGTTTTTGCTTCAAAAAGGTTTGCACTCGCTGCTGCCGAGTGACACAAGGACAGATAGAACAGGACCGAGGCTGCTCTTTTGTGAACTGTCCTCCACCCAGTGGCTCAGTGCCACTAGCAAAGCATGCACATGGCAGTATGGCACCATTTCATGTTAAGACGACTTCAGGACTCAGGACTTCCACTACAAGAAAACCCCCCATGTAGATATGCTTTCATTGCTACGCTATTGAAAGCGTACCAACATCCTTGATGATTACACTACTAGATACGGTTCTTGAAACGTTTAAAGAAAAGTGTGTCTACATCTCGAGTGGTTCCAGCGTAGATACGGTTGTTGACATGTTTTTGAAAAAACGTATCTAGTCCCATTGCTAGACACGATCATTTGACACGCTAAAAAACGCATATTGTCCCTTCCATGCTTATCGTGAGCCCAACAGGCCAACAAGGCCCTTTGGCCGCTGGCCCAAGTTCCCTTGCCAGGAGCCCCACCGTGGATATGCGCAGGCACATGCGAGTACGTGACCACTGACCGCACATCGCCCCTGGCAGTTTCTTCTCTTCTCCCGACTCCTGTTCTTCCCAATCCTAAATCGCCAAACCCTAGCGAAGGAGCGGCGGCGGAATCCGGCGAGGCGGGATCAGACTCCAGAGTGCCGAGTGTGCAGGATATCGGGCTGCTGTCGTGTTTGTGTTCGTGTTCGTGTTCGTGTCCGTGTTCGCGGAGGAGATCTACCATGCTCGCCCATCTCCCTCCTCCCATCTCTCGTCGCCCGCTCCCACGGCCCGCTGCTGCCCCACCACGGCGCCGCGGCCACGCGCTACTAACTCCTCCAGCAGGCTTGAACTGTGGATATAATCAAGTTGGGGTATCTTTCTTTGCGGTATGTTACATGTATTTTTGCCTCATAGTAATAATCATGACCTTTGTTCTTGGATTCTGCAGTATGTTACGAGTAAAGAATTTTTTCTTATCTGTCAAAAGTTCTTGATTTGGGAATTGGGATGACTATGACAATGAGGACATTGAAGATAAGATGATCGTGCCTACCGATTTTGTTGTTGTCTGTGCACAGTGAGTACGATATCTTCTCTTTTCAGGCACAGTAAGGACGATATCTTCTCTTTTCAGGCAAGTATCAGTAAGCATAGTTTCTTATCTTGCTGGAAATAACTGTCATGTCTATGTTTTTTCCCCCTTGATAAGAATCTTTAAGTATTTTTTTCCTGTAGTAATAGAACATGATACACTACCACAATCTCTTCTAAGGTGCCCACTGATTTGTCATCACGGGTGATATTGTAGTAATACTGTCTCCAGTTAGTAAATTCATGTTTAATAGATCCCAGCACGTGCTCATAGTGTTTGTCCATGTCAAAATACAGTCAGGTCACTTTACTTTCCATTTCTCATCCTATCAGAATGACTTGCCTGTCTACTTCTAAGCTATTAGTTATCGTACGTGTTAAATTATTATCAATGCCAGGCCAGCACACTTGAAGAAATAGAGAATGGTGAATAAATATGTTCCTTTGGCTGATTTTCGATTTGCAGTGCTTGGATAGATTATTTGTTTCGATTGGAAGAAACTTCTTACTTGATTCTGTTGCTTTCTCTGGACTTCAATATCACAGGGAATTTTGTAGCAGTTGGAACCACAGATTGTGCCATCAAAATATGGGATTTGGACATGGTGCTGTCTCTTGGTAAAGGGCTAGCTATAACCATGACTCCATGAGCAAAACAGTTTACATATTCTTTTCTGGACATTTGATATTTCTCAATAGGCTGATGATGTGCAGCCCCAGATGGTGCTAGGAGGACTTTCATAAAAGAAAGGCAAACGGTAAAAAGGTTCACAACTATCTCTAATCTTGAATTGTTCTTATATAATCTATGTCGCAAGCTGAAACATTTGGGGACTGTAATTTATTACTATTGGATTTCCTCACAGCGGCTTATGGGCAACTGTTGCTGATTAATTGCAAAGGATTCCCTACTCGGTTGGATATTCCACAATCCTTTTTTTTTTACATTTGTACGACCATTGTATTTTTTCTATAAATTCATAACCTATGCTTTGACAAAAACTTTGTTTTTTTGCAGTTTGTTGATTCTATAACCAGTTTAAAGAGTGATGAAAAGGAAGTTGTTGCTCATGGTATTGGATCTTCTATTCCGCCGGTGGATGTTAGCGGCAAGGAGGTTGTTGCATGTGGCACACCACCTATAAATAGACTGGCAGCAGGGGCGGTGCTGAGGAACGAAAGTTCAGGGCAAGAGAAAGACAATGGAGTTGCGTTGTTTGTCACTTGTATCCATTAGAAAATCAGGTGGTAGACACTCCAATTGCTTAGTAGATTGTCCCTTGATTTATTAACAATGATTTGTACTTCTATTGATGCAAAGTGTGTCCATTGCTACACATTGAAATAAAAATATTTCATATGAGGAAGATTGGTGCTCGCATGAATTTGCTTTGCTTGTAGAAATACAAGGCACAGACCGAGAATAAAAAAAACAAAAAAAAGACAAAATTGTACCAATTTCACTTACAATCTATAGTGTTTTACAAGATGTAGATACATTATTCACCGTGTCTAGAAAGCGTCTTATGTATTTTAGATACGCTTGACATCGTCTTTAGAAAGCGTCCTAGGACTACTAGATACACTTGATATCATGTCTAGAAAGTGTCTCATGCCTCCTAGACATGCTTCACAAAACGTATGTACAAGTCCTGACACGGTCCGTGTGGAGACGCTCCTATACTTCAGTAGAAATGAAATGAAACGTATCTAACCTCGAAATAAAGCGTAGCTACAGTGGGTGCTTTCTTGTAGTGTTCAGGAGGGTTCAGTCTTCGGGTCAGGCGTAGTAACATCATGCTCCTTCACTGATTGCCATATAGACAAAGGCAAACGATGGGATAGGGAACCGGGAATGCTAATGCAACGCAAGGCATCGTTACGTGCTTCCAAGCAGCAAACGGGCAAAACCTTCCAGGACGGCTTGCACGACAGGAAGTCGGCTAGGCAGGCTCACATGTCCTACCTTACAGGGCTCTTGAATCCTGATTTAACAGTCAAAAAGCAACTGGGAGCTGAGAGCATAATCCACGATAGCCAATTTAATGGCACAGTTCGCTTGTCTTAAAATTCGGCTGGTTCGGCTTCTTTTTTCAGCCGGAACATTGTTTTTCTCTCGCAACAATTCAGTCGGAACAGTGTTTTTCAGCCAAACGAACGGGCCGCTACAGATGCTCGCTGCAAAACACAGCTCCAGATGCAGTGCCAACACAATCTCCATTGTCTATCATTTCTTCCTGCATTTGGAGGCACCTGAATACTTTACTGTTTGTGTACATGCCATGCCTTGCCATTGTTAATTACTACTAGGATCAGCAGCAACAGCCAATGCACTAGGAAGCCTGACAAGCTATGCTGTCAGCTAAGTGCAAGGTTCAGTCAGATCAACAAACTTTGACGCCCATGCATGCAGTTCAGTGTTTAGAAGCACTATTAGTTTATTGAATGTACCAATGTACTACCATGAACTTTTGAGTACAAAGATACTCTTGCAGCAACGCAGGGGGTAACAAGCACGTGAGAAAGAGAGAGATGAACAATGTAGTACTACTGTCATTTTCAGTTCCTTGTACACATACACGCTACGATTCTGAGCAAGTCATGTAGGAGTAGATAGACAAATAAACACAACACTCTCTGACTGGCTGGTACCAGCAGGCAGCAGTACTATATGTTTAGTGGTACAGATTTCCAAATTAATTAAATGGATGGTTAGATAGCAAATATCCAAAATTTGGCAAGTTCCCATAACATGATCCAGAAAAGGCAAGTTGCACCACATTGCATAACTGAAACTGAAATTACAGCCCACCAGGATTGATGTGAGAGGATCCACACCATACGCCTTGACCTTACTGGTGAGGATCTAAGTCAAACACATCAACACCCCAGGAGGCAATGAAACTATTGTAGGCATTACATAATAATTCCCTAACCATCAAAAGACTAGCTAGACACTTTGACAGCTTCGCAATTGGACACTGGATAGAATAGAACTCCCTTCATCTTTCATCGTTTGGTCAGTTACCAAGCAAAGAAAGATCTCAAAAGTAAAACCAACAAACTGGGATTCAATGTAGATAGAGGTTAACCCAATTCAGTCTCCGGGCTATCCTGGGGGCATCTGATCAGCTCCAGTATGTTCACCACCTCACTCATGTCCGGCCTGTTTGACGGAACCTGAGAAGTACAGACCAAACCAAGTTTCATGATCGGAACAGCCTCCTCCAGTGGAAATTTGCCGCAGAGCCTCTCATCAACACATTCTTCCACCTTGCCTTCATCCAAAGCCGCCCTCACCACATCACAGAGCACAATCACATCATCTTCCATGTACTCCACAGGTGTCCTACCTGTCAGGATCTCAAGAATAAGAACACCAAACCCGTACACGTCGCATTTCTCAGTGATCTTCACAGTTCTGCATGCAAACTCCGGAGCCATGTATCCAAGCGCACTCTGCACCTTGCTACTTAAGACATAACGATCTAGCATTGGAAGTAGCTTCGCTAACCCATAATCTCCTACCTTTGCCTCACCTGATCCATCGAGCAGAATGTTGTTTGATTTCAGATTGTAGTGGATAATATCATGCCTGTGGAGATGAGCAAGGCTTCTTGCTATACCGAGGACTATGTCAAATCTTTCCTTCCAGGACAGGCAATTTGTGGTGGATGATTCATGCAATTGTTTGTGCAAGTTATCCCCAGAGACAAACTCATAAATGAGAAGCTGAAGCGATGGCGTCCAGTAATAACCCTTTAGTGCAACTAGGTTGCGATGGCGTAGCTTGCCCAGCATCTTCACTTCTCTCTCAAATTCAACTTGAGATTTAACCAAGCTTGACACAGTGAGCTTCTTGATGGCAACAGGTTGTCCATCTCGAAGAGTGGTCTTGTAGACAGTGCCAAAACCACCACGCCCAAGCTCGCAATCCTTGTTCAGAAGAGCATGGGTACTGGCACTGAACTCTGGATTTCCTCCTCCAAACATGACAAGCTTGCCTGCGTTCATGTCAGTTGTTGGTGACTGGCTGAGATATCCATCTGAGAGTTCCAGGACAGCACCAGAATGAGATCCAGGGGCACGCACTCGAAGGTTAAGAACAGTAATGGTAATGACACCAACAGCAATTAGAGCAGCAGCACCAATTGCAACAAGGGCCGAGATGCTCAGTATGGTTTTCTTATGATGGCGACCACCATCGGGCACAGGCTCGGTTGGTGATATTGGATCGGAAGAAGTGTTTGGGTTCAGCACGATTGGTTTTGGCAGCACACCAGGACAAGACGAATTGAGCTTTGCGCCACAAAGGCCAGGATTATCCGACACAGAAGATAAGGGGATTGTGTCAAAGAAGCTACCGGGAGGGAGATCCCCAGAGAGCTGGTTATGTGAAACATTGAACTGCAGGAGGTGGGGGAGGTTAGAAAGCTGCTTTGGTAGAACACCAGTAAGCTTGTTCTGAGAAAGATCAACAATCTCGAGATTGGTAAGGTTAGATATCGTTTCCGGAATTTCTCCTGTTAAATTGTTATGTGAAAGATCCCTGCAAGAGAATGTGAAGGTTTAGCATGTAAAGCTCCAAACATTTGTCTACCCACTGGATTGGATCAGAAAGAAGTGCTTAAACTTACAGTGATGCAAGGGCAGAGCAATTGCCAATCTGAGGTGGGATGTTGCCAGTCAGGAAGTTCTTCCCCAGCCTCAACTCCTTCAATGACTCCCCTCCAGTTGCAGGAATGCACCCATTTAGTCGGTTGGCAGTCAAATCAAGAACATCTAGTGACTTCATCTCCAAAATGCTGGCCGGAATACTTCCAGACATTGAGTTCCATGACATGTTCAACGACTGCAAATTCTGCAGCTTGGAGATATCCGATGGAATAACTCCAGAGAAGGCATTGTTCGACAAGTCCACTCCTTGAAGCACTGAAGAAGCATTTGCAGGAACTTTTACCTCCCCGCTCAATGTGTTCTGCGACACCGACACCCATTGCACACCAGAGCCGAGAACCCAGCTAGGCAGTGCACCCGTAAGAGAATTCCAGCTGACATCAACATGCATTAGGCTCTTGCATCCACCAATTGATTCAGGTAAGGCTCCGGTGAACCCATTCCCTGACAACCTCAACTCCCTCAATGACATCAACCCGCCAATAGACCCTGGAATCTCGCCAGAGAACTTGTTCCCCGACAAATCCAGCATTTCCAGGCTTGCCATTTCTCCAAACCATGTTGGAACACTCCCAGTGAACTCATTCGAGCTCAGGTCAAGGTATGTGCAGGTGGAGAGCCTCCGCAGGGACTCCGGTAAGTCGCCGGACAGCGAGTTGGACCCAAGATCCACTGACCTGAGCAACGGGCAGTCCCCAATGTCGTCCGGGAGGCTACCAGTGAGACGGTTGCCTCGCAGGTTGAGCGCCCGAAGGTTGAACATCCTGCTGATACCGATCGGGAGGTCGCCGGTGACGGCATTGCCGGAGATGTCCAGCGTGCGCAGCGCGTTGAGGGACCAAATGTCGCTGGGCAGCGCGCCGGCCAGGCGGTTGGAGGAGAGGTTGAGCGACGCGAGCGTGGCGCACGCGGCGACGTCCCGCGGGATGCCGCCGGAGAAGGCGTTGCTGGCGAGCGAGACGTCGCGGAGGGAGCGGCAGCGGCCGAAGAGTCCCTTCGGGATGGCGCCGGCGAAGGCGTTGGCGCTGAGGTCCAGCGTCTGGAGTGCCGGGAGGCGGGCGAGGTCGGCGGGGACGTCGCCGGAGAGGTTGTTGCGGGCGAGGGAGAGCGACTGGAGCGCCTCGAGGCGGAGGAGACCCCGGCCGACCTTGCCCGAGAGGCCGAAGCCGGCGAGGGAGAGCGCGGAGACGCGGCCCGTGCGCGCGTCGCAGGTGACGCCGTCCCAGGCGCAGGGCCGCTCGTCGTCCTCGCTCCACGTCGCGAGGCGGCCGTCGGGGTCCGACACGTCGGCCTTGAACACGATCAGCCCCAGCACGTCGTCGCCCAACCCCGCCCCCGCCGCGCCGCCCTTGGCCTCCGCCGCCGCCACGAGGGCGGCGAGGTGGGCGAGAACCAGCAGCGCGAGAGGCCGCATTGCTCAGCTAGACGAGGCGAAGCACAAGGAGGAGGCGGCGGCGCAAATAAATGCTCAGGATCGATGCAGGAAGACGATTCGGTGGGAGGAACCGAGAGTCCGGGGGTGGGGCTCGATTAAATCTGCGCGTGACGACCTCCAAGCTT